CGGGGGCAGGGACCGCAGTGGCCTTGGGCTGTGGACATCTGGGGCGGGCGGCGGGGGGGCTCATGCAGGTAGCGGTTTCCAAATTTCCTCCACCAGGAACTCTGATCCTGCCACCTCTGACGGCCGGCACCCACAAGGCAGGCTCCAGGCCGCGCGCGTCTCAGGGAAGGGCTGACCAACGGGAGCGTCCTGGGAAATATTCACGGACCAGCCCTAGACCACCGCTCCTCCAGTCAGAGCAAAACAATCACATGCTTTGAAAAACCAAGACAGAAAACCAAAAATGAATAAAAGCCCTCGTGCCACGCATTCTGGTCAAACACGCCATCCAGCTGATGCCCACCGGGCGCCAGGGAGGCCGGAGCGGCAGCGAGGCCCTGGACAGGAATAGAACATCAGGCGCCTCGGGCTGTGAGGGGCCCGGAAGGCGGGCGTTCGCTGGGCTTCCCTGGCAGTGGCCCCGCTGGGAGCCGCCAGCCGAGCGTCCGGGGCCGGGGCCTACGGCCAAGGTCCGCGCACAGAGGGCGTCCTAAGTAGTTTAGAGGTCAGAGGGAAACGGAGGGGCAGTGCCGCTTACAGTGCGAGGTGTTACATTTTTTAAAAATAAAAATACTTAAAAAACAAGGACCCTGAGAGGAAATACGCAGGGACTCCGCCCCTTTAGGGGGGAGCGGGCCGGGAGGAGGCTCCGTCCCTCGCAGGCCCCGCGCCTCGGGCTCTGCTGTGGATGCTGGGGAGGTTTTCCCGTCGGCGGTCCCCTAGGAATCAGGTTTCCTCCACTCTCTCAACTTCTAGAAAGTTCCTGGAACTTGTGTTTGGAAGGGCCGTGCACAGGTGGGAGCACAAGAGGAGAAAGCTCAGCACGTCCCAAAGGACAGGCGTGCTGGGGACACGCTGACAGTGCCCGGAGACTGTGCGTGCTGTGCGGACGGACGCGTCCTCTAAGCGTTCTCTCGCTCCCACGGGCGTTACCTGCGTCCCTGTGTGAGATTCAAAGTGACAGCTCAGGACTTGAGTCTGCGTTTCATTAAAAACTTTTTTAAAGCCACTAGTTTTTTAAAAAAAATTTAAATTGATTTCAGAGAAGAAGGGAGAGAGAGAGAGAGAAACATCAACGATGAGAGAGAATCACTGATCGGCTGCCTCCTGCACGCCCCCTGCTGGGGATCGAGCCCACAACCCAGGCCTGGGCCCTGACCCAGAATCAAACCATCACCTCCTGGTTCACAGGTCGACGCTCAACCACTGAGCCACGCCGGCCGGGCTTGAAGTTTGCATTTAAAACATGGCGCTGGCTTTGCAAAATGAAACTGGTTTGCGTGTGAAGTAGAGACGGTCTTGCAGCCTGTGTTCCGTTAGCAGTCGCCCCCAGATGTCAAAGCGAAGGAGAGGCCCCACGGCCTCTTTCAGGTGCCTGGCACGGACAGGACCCCAGGTGGCACGGAGACGCCGGGTGCCTGGCCCTTGGAAACGGGCACCTCTGCGTGGTCGGAGTCCCCGGCGGAGGAGGCTCGCCTCTCCAAGCAGCAGCCCTTCCCACTGAGCCACAATGAATAAAGATGTTCCCAAATGCCCGAGTGCTCTGCTTTGCCGAGTGGCGTCTGTCCTCGCTGCGCGGGCATCAGTAGGTCAGGCCCTCCCACCGCGTTTGGCGACACCCGGCGCCCACACCCGCGGGCACGAGCGGCGTGGGCTTCTCCCACAGGAAATGCGCGGGGTTGGCCCCGGCCAGTCCTCTGTCCTCCCTCCACCGATGTTCAGCTCCGCGTCCGCCTTTGTCTCTGCTCTGTGCTCGGCACCGGCCTCGGCCACGTTCGCAGGATGGCCATCGGCACCTGTGAGAACACACTCGCCGGGAGGGCGTCACATCTCGGCCTGTTGTTGGCGGAGTAGCCGCACACACACGCACACTCGTGGCGTCACACGCGTGTGAGCAATCACATCTGTCTGTGTGACCAGGGACGGTTTTCTTGGTTCCTGCTACCAAGTGGCTCAGAGGGTCCCCCTCGGTTCTTTCTGGACAAAGACTTTTCACCCACAAACCTCAGGGGGTGGAGTGCAGGCAGGAGTGTTACCCTGTCAGCTGCACACCTTGATCAGAGGCACCGAGGTTTCGTGCAAACTGCCCACCCATTTGCTCCTGAGGCCGGACAGGCTGGTGTGCAAGGGAGGCCTGAAAGGTCCATTTTCAGATCTTGAAAACGTGTGGGGATGTGTGCACATGCCCGGCGTCCATGGCCATTGGCACAGAGACCCTGGCCGTGGGCACACGTGTGGGCTTTAGTGCCTGGCGCACCCTTCGCTGGGGCTGCCGGGACGAGAGGCCGGGGTCTGAGACCCAGGCCTGGGCAGGTAGGTGTTCCCCGGGGACCCCACTCCCTGGCGGGGAGACGGCTCCCCTCCAGGGCCTCACACGGCCACAGCCGGCCGTCTGTGCTCCCAAATCCCATCTCCGCTCCTCAGAGGACTCAGGCGGCTGGGTTAGGGCCACCCCACAGACCTCACCCGCCTTGATCTCCCTTTATCGCCCGTTTCCAACGCAGTCACTTTCTCAGAAACAGCGGGGCCGTCAGCGTGGGCATTGGCACACGCCCTGTGCCGTGCTCCCCGTGCCCTGCGCCCCGTGCCCTGTGCC